GCCGCGCGACAATCGCTTCCGGGTCGCGGCGCGCGGCGCTTCCGGAGCAGCATGGCGGCCGCCGAAGACGAGCAGCCGGCGGGGAGCGGGGAGGGAGAGCGGCTGGATTTCCTGCGGGATCGGCACGTGCGGTTCTTCCAGCGCTGCCTGCAGGTCCTGCCCGAACGCTATTCTTCGCTGGAGACCAGCCGGTAACTCGCGGCCACGGTCCACGGGGTTGGCACGGGGCCCGGCGGAAAGGCGCCGCCGAGCCGAGGGCTAACTGGGCGTCCGCCGAGCCTGCGCCGCCGCCCACCGGCCCGGCCGCGCGCCTCCCCTCCGGCAGGTGACCTGCTCCGCCCGAGCTCCGGCGAGGGGCCTTGGCTGTAATCGGGGACTTGGGGAGTCGCCAGGTTTTCGCTTTTTTTTTTTTTTTTCATTTCCCCCCAAATTTTCCTAGTCAACTCCGAGCTTCCTTTTCACCCCCTCTCCGAGCTTATGAATCACTTGGCCTGTCGCTTCCAAGTGTAGTCGGAAAAAGTAACGCGGTTGTCGTGGATTACGGTCTCCTGTGCTGTCCTTTCCCTCCACAGTCCCTAACTCTTATCGTGTGCCTGTGTGGTGGATGCGTAGGAGCGGCGGAGAGCTGGTGAGGTTTGAGTAGGAATTAACTTTCCAGGAATTGTAACTCTAATGATAGAAGATTGGCGGAAGGAAGGGTGTTGCGTGAAGCAGCCAGTTTGAAGTGTATTTGCAGTATATCCTTGTAAGTTGGAGTTGACTGAGGGGTGTGATCTGGCAGAGGCTAAGAAACTCTGAATTAGTCATTCAGAGTGAAAGTCTGGGCAGAGAAGGAGAGGAGGAGGCGGGTTTTGCTCTGCATCCCTGTTTTGAAGGGAGTTTCCAGAGCTGCATGGATCTGCCTGGGAAGAGAGAGGTGGATGTTCTGATCTCACATTTTTTTGAACTCTGGAGCCTCTGGTTTTTTTTTTTTTTTTGAGCACTGCGTAACTGAGTCCGTTTTGGAACATTATTTACATTATTCTGTACACCGTGGTCAAGAAATACTGGTTAATGGAGTGCAGCTGCACAAGACAAACAAACAGCCTCAGTGGACTTCTGTGCTTTGGTCAGTGTAGGGTTCCCGGGACCATATGAAGGGCAGGTGCGCCTTCCCTAACCGCCCTTTCTAAAAGAGACAATTGACACTGGCAGCCATCACCAGCAAATATGTATCTGATGGTTTACTTGTTTAATATCTTTCTTACACATTGGATTGTAAACTTTAAGAAGGCAAGAACTTTGTCCACTTCCCTGTCCACTAGTAGCCACTAGCCACGTCTGTTTAAATTTGAGTGAATTAAAATTACAGCAGATTACAAAATGCTTTGTGCTGTTTACCTTGGCACATTTCAAGTATTCAGTCACACCACTTACATTTCCCTCATCTCAAGACAGTCCTATTGGGTAGCATGGCCCTAACACCTTGAGTAGTATCTGATAGATGAGAAGTACTAAGTAAATATTTGTTGAGTAATGTGAACTGAGCCTGAAGGATGACCCAAACCTCATCAAAGAGAGAAACATTTTGTATTTTTTTCCACGCATAGTATAGTAGCATCTACTGTAGCGCCTAGACCTAGAGCTAAAAAAGATTTCCAGAAATCGGCCAGTGGTTATAGTGATAAGGGATGTTAAAAAACAAAAAATGTGTTGATAGATCCACATTTATAAATGTGACTTATGTAAATCACATTTATATTCATGGGATCAAGCATCCTATTGTGCTTGTTAAACATGTAGACTTTGCTTGTGGCCATCATTATAGGTCCAGTTGCGTTTTCAAAATTCCTGCATAGATGAAACCATGTAGACTAAGATTGTATGTCCGTGGTAAATTGTGATCTCGCCCACAGCATAAGTAAACAAGCAAAATTGGTCTGATTGAACAACGAATACACCCGTTAATAATTTCAGTGTAATCTTAGGATCTACACCAGGCATTATCTTTTAAATGATAAATACAAAATGTCAAGCTGCAGTAGTTAAAAGATATGAGCTATGTCCTTTTCATGGCTAATGTTTGTCATTTGAATAGAATATTTTTGAACTATTTTTTTTTTTAATTTTCTTGAGGTCCCTTTAAGATCATCTTTACATATCCGTTTTTGTCGTTTTTTTTTTTTTTTAGTTTTCATCTTTCCTGATTGGCAGTCTTTATTTTCCTTAGTTTGGCATTGAGTCTTTTTGTGGCTTCAATCTTTTAAGTAATGGTGAAGGGTCAAAAAAAAGTTTCTATAGATGTATGTTCTTATTTTCATAAAGCCATGGCTGTTAAAAAAAATAAAAATAATTTATTCCTACTCGTCATACTAAAAGAAACAGGGACGTGGAATCATTTTGCCAAAAGTGTCAAAAATAAATGTCTAAATATCTATTCCGCTACCAGTCCTCCTAAAATTGAGCTGTTTCATAGCTAAAAGGAAAGAAACTCAGCTTCACTGAGTCATTGGTTTAACTCTTGAGATCAAACAATTTATGGACTAAATTATAATTCTTACTTGGAGATTGCCATTTAATTCCACAAAGTATTAAGTACCTACTATGTGTCTGAGTGTGGAAATACAGTGTTAAACAATGATTTAGTGGACCTGAATTTGTTTCTTTTGTGTTGGTACATAGCCTTGAAACACCAGATCTTTCAGAGACGCACTGAGTTTACTGTCTGCAAATGACCCATTGGTGAACCAACTCCTACATCCCATACACGGTGACCATTTTATGTGTTCTAACTGGTCAGAGCAGAGGAGACAGGAAGATGTGCTACTACTTTCCCTTTCAGGCTAGTTCTAAAGAAGAAAGGATGAGAAGAGACAAATGTTCTCCAAAGTAATGCAGTAAAAAGTAACTTGGTTCGGGCCCTCCCTGGTGGTGCAGCAGGTTAAAGCACAAGCACAGCACTATGAAGCTAAAGCCGCTTCAGCGTTCAGCAGTGTACTTCCTCGATCTACCTGTTCTGCACCCCACTCTGTCTTTAGTGAATCCTCCCACTGCCCCACACCTCTGGCCTGTACCCCAGTTCTGTATGTATAAAAAAGTAAATCTTTAAAAAAATAATAACTTGGTTTATCTATCACCCTGTTGTAAGGTGCATGTGTGGGCAGGACTAACCCTGTAGACAGTTGCCTAGTGGCCTGAACCCCAGGTAGCAGTCATCTGAGCGCCAGAAAACCCCACATTGCTTCTCTTAGGCCCTTGCCCAACGCCTTCATGCTTTTTATAGCTTGTTTAAACCTCTGTCTCTCAGAGTGTCAGGAATATTTGCGAACTCTGGTATGGTCCCAAAAGGAAGACCTTCCTGGGCTGTCTTACAAGGAGGTGGCGCCTGTCATGTCTTGGCTTAGCCTTCCTCAGACTGTGTCTGCCAGTTCTTTGTCTCCACTGCTGTCAGTTGAAATGACGGATTTTCAGGATTTTAAAACCGTTTGCTACCAGCTGACTAACTCCTGGAATTTGCATCTTCATCCAGGATCAAGTACAGTGAAAAACACCACTCAGATAATGACCTTGAAACCTCAGCACCTTTATACTTGGGGCCAGATGTTTTGTTGAATGTTGCTGCCTTCTACCTCGTCCGGGGTTTAGCAGCCACCCTGGCCTTTACCAGGGAGATGCCAGGAGCACCCACGCCTAGTTGCAACAACTAAAAATGGCTTCAGAATCTCCCCTGGGGGACAGTGTCACAGGGCAGTCCCCACTGGAGAAACTCTGCTCTTCTAAAACCTTGGAAACTTTTTTTTTTTTTTAATTCCAGGTACTCAGACCTCCTCCTCCCAGAATTTCGGATTTCATCAATTGTTTTGGAGTAGAGTGTAGGCGTTGAGGTTTTGTTGGCGGTATAGTTGTTTTTAAACATTTCATTGTGCAACCATGTTTGAGAAACTCCAGCGGAGACCACCACCCCATGACTCAAAATTCCTGAGCAGTTTCAATTTGGTTGTCTTGCATTGAAATCTCAAGCAAATTGCTTAAATTCCTTGGACTTCATTTTAATCAAGAGCTTGACAAAGAGATGAACTGAATAACTTGGAAAGTTCTTTAGTTTAGAAAAGCATGCCAATGTTGCTCTTTGGATTTGTTTTCTTGCATGTATTTTCACAAACAGGATTATTGTTTCATCCAATTCAAGTCCTTCAGGCTGTTCACTTTTCACTGTCTGCCTTTTGCCTTTTTCTGCAGCAATGCCTTGTTAAACTAAATTACGAGACGCTTAGCTTTATCTGACTGAAATGATTGCCCTTGCAGATTATAGCAGAACCAAAGCCCTTGTTGGACTCTCCAGCTATAGTCTTACACATCTTTTAGTAACTCGTTCAGTAAGTATTTGTGTGTGTACCATGAACAAGGCAGACCTTATCTCATGAGACATCATTATCTCAAGAGCAGCTATTTTAAAACTTTGTTGTGGCTAGGTAAAAGTTTCCCCCATGTTGAAAATAGCTTTTGGTTTTGCCTGAGTGGTTTTGGGGGTTGGAGGTGGGGAGCTAATATATTGCAACCAGTGACCTGGAGAAAAGGCTGCTGCTGTACATGTGATGAGATCGCAAGGTTGTTGTTATACCTCTCCAAGCCTGGGAAAATAGCAATAAAAATTTTGAGCTTCTGTTTTTGAGTGTTAGCCTACAGATAAAAGTGAGCACAGTAACTACATGTGGTGATAGAATAATTTGTAGATAAAGAAGGTGACTGAGGAAAGGTTAGGTAACCTACCCAGATTGTATACGACTGTAAATTGGCCATGCAGGATTTGAACCTGGCTCATTTGACTGCCCGCTATGAACTCTGACTACAGCTCCCTTCCCACACGACTTGGTTACACTTCCCTTAATATAACACTGATCTTTACCAAATACATCACCTCCCTAATTCAGGGGGATCTCTGTGGGGTGTTAGAATCGAATTAACTTTTTATTTAGCTCGTTGTTTAATAGATAGTAATAGTTCCTTAGTGATGTAAGTTTCCCAAAACTTATTCTTTTAAAGTCTGCCAATTTCTCAAACTAGTTTTAGTTTTTACTTGTTCAACCAGGGATTAGAATTACAATAGAAAAGAAGACAAATTGTGACTGACTTTTCTTTTCTCTTAACTGTTGGTAACACTGAGCTAGGTAGGAAAGTAGTTACTTTACTCTATAGAATAGATGCCTTGACAAGAAGGTTTACTTCTAAGGATTGGATCTGGGCACTATCACTGCACTGTCCTAAGTTTGATCCCAGACCAGGGAGCTAACTCACACATGGTGCAGCAGACGTCTCCTGTGTTACCCACTGCACCCCTCAGCATTGCATTTTGGTGGATCTGCCTCACCCCCATACCCCACCTTTATGCAAAAAAAGGGTTTACTTCTCTTTTGGAATCTTTTTTTTTTTTTTTAAGATTTATTTATGCTTACAGAACTGGGGTACAGGCCATAGGTGTGGTGGGTGAGAGGATTTACCAGAGTCAGAGTGGGGAATAGAACAGGCAGATCTACTGAAATACACTGCTGAGGGGAGCAGCAGGTGGGTCAGGAGAGGTCTGCCATGCCATGTGGGTCAGCTCCCTGGTGGGGGATCAAACACCTGCTGCAGTGGCTTCAGAGAGCTTCAACTTGCGGTGCTTTAACCCATTGCGCCACCAGGAAGAGCCCTCTTTTGTAATCTTTTTTAAAAAAGGCTACAGAATGTATTGGGTGTCTCAACTATAAGACTTTAGGCTCCATAATTGTGAAGTTTTATTTTGTCATTATTAGTCATAGAAATTACTAAAAGAAAGACTTGAGATAACTGTCCCCAGCCAAATAACATTGGTGAATGCATCTGAACATGAAAGGAATTTATATACGCACACACACATGCATATATGCATGTGTGTGTGTGTGTGTGTGTGTGTGTAAAACGTTTTATGTGTAAAACAGTCACTGAGGCCCTCCCTGGTGGCGCAGCGGGTTGAAGCGCAGCGCTGAGAATCTGAAGCCACTTCCACATGAGTTCGATTCCCGCCTGCCGCCTGCCCAGGAGGAGACCACATGGCGAGCCAGACCTCTCCTGGCCCGCCTGCTGCTTCCCTTAGCAGTGTACTTCGTAGATCTGCCTGTTCTGCTCCCCACTCTGTCTCTGGTGAGGCCTCTCACCGCCCCTGAGCCTCTGGCCTGTGCCCCAGTTCTGTATTCACAAATAAATAAATAAATAAATCTTTAAAAAAAAAAAAAAAAACAGTCACTGAAAGCACAGGTTTAGATTTCTGGTTTAGTATACCATCTTAGGAGTAGAAGTTGTTGCTTTATAACTGCATTCCATCAAGGAATAGTTCTCTCTGGGAACATAGAGTTACAGTGCATTTGTATTTTTTTTAAGTGTTCCTTATTTCCCAAAATTCACAGTAATTTTTTCCCAAGGAGTCATTCGGAAAGAATTTACATTATTTGGAAGCAGATTTGGATGAAGTAGATTTATTCTAACTTTCCTTAGAATTAAGCCCCAGCTATAAGCGTAATTGGTCTTGGCAAACTCATGAAAATTGAGATTTTTAGCTGTTTTCCAGACTGTTGACCTTACTTGCACTGACTAGGTGTAGGTATTCTTTTTCTTTAAGTGTGCCTTAGCCTTCAGGTTGCTGATACACCACCTTCAGTAAAGTCACGTATGATTCAAATGAGTAGGACGGTTTCCTAACCCCTAGAGGTCCCCTAAAATGAAAAAAAGTTAAATGAAAGTTTGACAGATATTACCTTGTATGACTAAATACTGTACTTTTGCTTTTGCAAGATGGGGGCATAATTCGAGTTATTGTAAAATTATTATGGGTTGATTATTTTTCTGAGTCAGAAAGTATTCAGTAGTTTGGGGGTTAAGATGAAATTCTACATTTGTTTCTTTTAGGTTGACAATTGCCTTCTTTGCACTCTCCGGTCTGGATATGTTGGATTCCTTAGATGTGGTGAACAAAGATGACATAATAGAATGGATCTACTCCCTGCAGGTCCTCCCCACAGAAGACAGTGAGTGAGTTTTTAGCATTTTATTTTTAGTGTGATGTGATGAGTTGTACCTGGCATGATACGTGTGGAACTAGCACATCTTATTATTTATTCATAAAAGCTGAGCATATTTTATTCATGTACATGTTGCTTGTAATACAACACTGTTATTCTGTTGGCTTAGCCAGATTAGCAAACCCAATCATCAATCTCTTGAGAGGGCAATTTGGAATTGTCTGGGATGAAGGAGAGACTCCACTTGGAGCACGGAGTTCTGTTACGCGCGTCCTTGCCCATGACTGTGTGTTGTCTGTTTGTGGTTAATATTCATGTTAGATGAGTTTTGTAGCACTCACTGTTTTTATTCCCAGCCATTTTGTCTCTTCGGAAGAACTCTTTACCCTCAGCATGTTTCGTTTCAGACTCCTGTTCACTCCCCTCTCAGTGCTTCATTTGTGTTTCTCTAATGATGGCACTTCAGTCATGTGTGCTGCTTAAAACTTTCAGATTTTGATTAATTACATTTAAAATGAATAATTACTAAAATTCAGAAATTACCTGGTGCACTAAAACACACAAGTTGTATACTCTACTAAGTATAACATATCTAATGGCAGTTTATCTGATAAATACTGGCGATCTAGCCTGAGAAGGACCAAGCAGATAAACTCTCAGAAAATCATGTTGTTTTTGTGAGTGACCTTTGTTGTGGGGGTCAGCGTTTGTACCTGAACAGTGTGGTCTGTTGGTTAGAGTCACCCAGATGACTGAGAAAGGGAAAGCTAAAGTTTTATTTAGAAGTCGGGGGAGAGAAGGAGAAGAGTGGATGGAGGAGGGAGTTGATCTATTAGCACATGCTTTCACACATCATTTGTGCTTTCTACTTTTTCATAAAAGTGTATAGTGTTTACCCTTGTATAATTTTAGAAACTGCATTTTTAAAATGAATTCTTGTTAAGACGGGGGGCAGGGAAGTGCACTGGACTATGGTAATGGCACAGGGTGATTTGGTGATGGGAAGCCCAAGGGGATTACAACTGAGATGGATAAATGCACAAAATAATGTAAAAATAAACCTTTATATTATTATTATTTTTTAAAGATTTATTTATTTATTCATACAGAACTGGGGTACAGGCCAGAGATGTGGAGGGTGAGAGGACTCACCTGAGACAGAGCGGGGAGCAGAACAGGCAGATGCACTGAAATACACTGCTGAGGGGAGCAGCGGGCTGGCCAGGAGAGGTCTGCCCCGCCACGTGGTCACCTCCGGGGCAGGCGGGGATCGAACTCATGCGGAAGTGGCTTAAGCTTCTCAGTGCTGTGCTTTAACCCACTGCGCCACCAGGGAGGGCCCCTTTATATTATTTTTTAAAGTGAATTCTTGTTAAGAAATGATTAAGTACTTTGTGCTATATGTCTAGCAGAACTTGGTACACAACTCTCTAATCAGTTTTCACCAGCTTCATAATACACTGGTCATAATGTGCTGGCCAGAAGTTCTAGATCCAGTGTGTTGGTGAGTAGGGTTTTTCTGATGCTCCGCGAAGAGACTGTGTGCCAACCTTCTGAGGAAAGGCTCTGACAGATTACACTCTCCTCGCTCTATCGCACATTGTGGCCGAGATGAGGTCATGGTTCTAGGCACCTGCAAAATGGAAATATTTTGTGTTTTCTCTTTTAATTGGGACTTTTTTATAGTGTAAATGAAAGTCTGGGATTTTTTTTTTTTTTTTGAAAGTCTGGGATTTTTAAAATTTAGATGTTAGCTAGATATAGATGATAGAGATTCTGATTTTTTTTTAACTAGAAATACATGTGTTTATCAAATTATACACTGTGGTTTCTTAAAAACATGTAACATACTGCAGATATGAGTGATCCACTGTGCTAAATAAAAAGCTCTCTGGGAAACAGAAAAGCTGTCCTGTATGTTTTTGCTAAAATATCTTTGATGTTATTTTTAGAAAAAGTTTATTAATATCCATTCCTGTGAAGTAAAGTAGCCACTGTTTCTGTAGAAAAGTATGAACCATAACACTTCAGTGAGAGAACTCTGACTATAATTACGATTTAAAGTTAGAAGAACATTGACCACTTGTTCACCATACTTCTCTCTTTCTGTCTCTTCGTTTATTTCCCCCCACTTCTAAAGACTATTTGTAGGATCTCTGACTGAGTTATCCTATTGTCTGCTGTTTAATGTGTGTTTACCTTCCCCGATCCTTTTGCAGTGAAGGGGGTTTCTTATAACACTATAATAACCATACTCTCTTTAAAAGCTGCTATTTTCTTCTTATTTAATCTTCTGTTGTGACAGATCTGTCAGTGTCTGGGCTTTCATACTGCTCATTGTAAGACATCCTCACTAGAGTGACTGATGTGAAAAGGGCGGGAAAAAGCCTGAAGTTGATAGGGGATGTGGCACAACTGAACTCGCACTCAGGGCTGAAGGCATTTTATGACTCTCACACTGACGTGTGGTGCTTACTACAGTACTGACTGCAGCTGAACGTGTGTGTGGTCTGTGACCCAGAACGCTAGCCATCCCCTACACGGGTGCAAATGTGCATTTGCCAGAAGACGGACTATTTTAGCAGTATTTTTCCAAGAGCCGAAAAATAAGAACTAGACAGACGTCCAATCTGTGTAGGTATAACTGACAAATGATGTATTTCAGCAGTTACATAATGGAGAACTCTACAATAATAGGAAAGAACAGTCTCTAGCTACACACACAAATCTGGATGATTGTCATAAATATATTTTGAGAGAAAGAAGTACACAGTGTGTTAATTTCTCCATCCCAAAATATAAAAACAGACAAAACCAATGTGAGCCTTTGTGAAGTGGTTAGTAGGGAGTAGGAAGGGATTCTGGGATGTACTTTTTTGGGGGCTGAGTACTAGTTTATGAGTGAGCTTGTAGCGCTGCTTAATTACGATCAGTGCGCATTTCTTCTGTTAATGATACTTTGATGCAGGTTTAGAATGTTTAAAATTAGCTTTGGTAGCTGCTTGAGACAAATCAGAGTTAGTTTTTCCCACTGTATTGGCAACATGAACTTCATTGATTTGGAGCCAATGGATAATTTTTTCAGTCACTGCTGCTTGACTGTTGCCATAAGTATTTTTGCTTGCGTCTGAGTTGTTAAACTTCTGGAGGGCAGGATATGCGTTTCTCTCCTATTTCTCTCCCTCTGAGGCTTTCCCACAAGACTAGTTTGTATCCATGGTTGTGTTGCTAAATCACCTGTACCTTCATTGCCTTTGTTTGTTTGTCTTTCCTGTATTTTCACATTTAACTTAGAGCATTCTCATGCTCCTCAAATATTTTGCCATTGATAAGTCACTTGTATATGAAGTAGGATGTGCTTTCTTTAAGATATAGGCCTACATATTTGTCCTGTTTTTGTGATATCACATAAACTCTTAAGGAACTAAAAAAAAAAAAAAAAAACTAAAAATGTTATACAAAGGCATAAGATTGTAAAGGAAAAAGTTCACATATTTCACTGTATAAATACTGCTAAATATTGTGTAGTAAAAGATAATATAAGCAGACTATCTTATGAAAACTAGAAAGATCCAACAGAGATAAAGATGTTATGTTACTTTTCACCTGACATCAGCTTACAAAAAGTTTGTTTAGGTTGGCAACAGCATGTGGGAAGGAGCACTTCCATATTCTTTTGGTGGACCTGAAAATTACTGCAACCTTTGCAGGGCATTTTATTGTAGTGTTTTCTCCTATGTGAGTTGTTACCGTGTGGGTTGTAATCATGGCGAAGTGCTTCAGATCAGTGTCCTTAGAAGAGAAAGCAGGGGGACAGATTTGAGACACGATGAAAAATCAGGTGAAGAACAAGGCAGAGGTTAGAGAATCGGTGCACACAACCAAGAAGGCCAAGGGTTGCCCACTGCCAGCAGCAGCTCAGGGAGAAGACTGAGAAGGATTTTCCCGAGAGCCTCCGGGGCCACCCCCGCAGCCCCAGGTGTGGTCTCCGGGCTCCTGGACTCTAGGAGAATAAATGTCTGTTGTATAGAGCCACTAGGTCGCTTCAGGAATCTCATACACGTGCACAAAAATGTGTGTGCAAGAATGCTTTGGCGTTGTTAATTACAGCAAGATGTTAGAAATAAACTCATCAGTCATCAGAAGTGAGACAGATAAACTGGGGTCCTATAAAGAAAGTGGAGTAGTGACATGACTGAGTAGGTCTCTATATGAGTCACGTGAAAATGCATCATATCTGGTTAATTGAGAGGCCAATTTGTGCAGAGATGTTAGTGCTTTATTAGCTGTAAATGCAAATATGTAGGGAAAACTTTGCAAGGATACATAAAAGCAATATTTGGGGAAAGTAGATGAGAACAGGTGGGGGTAGTTTGATTCTGTGTCTGTATTGTTTGAATATTTAAAATAAGTTTGTTTCTTTATTTAGGAAATTCAAGATAGCAAAAGCCTTAGCTTACCACTTGTTCAAACACGACAAAAATAGACAATTAAAAACTAAATTTAAGCCTGTATGGTTATACGTAAACACTGATATTTTACTAGTGGCATGAATAATACGTGCATATTATTTATAGTTTATTGTTTTTGAAAGCACTGTCATATACATCATCAAACTTGCTCTCCCCCTTTTCTGCCTTCCCCCCAGAAGAGGAAAATGAGAGTCGTAGTGAGTAAGAGCCTCAGAGCCACACGCAGATGATCAGGTGAGGCGGGCTGAGGTCCGCATGCCCAGTCCAGGGCTGCGTGACCTTTGCATGTGTCCTTCCCTCCGGGAGACTCGGTGTCACGCTGAAGTCCTGTTTGCTGCTACTGGACAGAAACACTAGATGGTGCTCGCTAGGGCCCTCCAGGATGTGACTTCAGCCTGCCTGTGCATTCTCTGTGTGTCTGTATAAACCAGGGTATGTAGGAAGAAAGCATTATTTTGTCTCTGATTGGTTTGGAAATTAAATGAGGAAACTGTACCAGTTAACTGGACCAGACCTGGCACATTGGAAGCACTCGCGTTAGCTAGCCTCGAAACACACCGTGACAAGGCTGATACTGAAATACTCTTTGTGCACTGAACTGCTTTTGAATCAGCACTAAAGTAATGTGGGCTTTCAGTAAGTACATGTTTTTATTTTCTAGGATCAAATCTAAATCGCTGCGGTTTCCGAGGCTCTTCATATCTGGGTATCCCATTCAATCCATCAAAGGTTAGTTATCTCTGGGTTAGGAGGGAGGAGAAGGGATGTGGGAGATATCAGCGAGGAAGAAAACTAAGTAATGAGATAGAAAGAAGCAGCTGCTGTTGTCTAATCATACGCACAATGGTCTCCCACTCCTTAGGAGAAATTTATACCCATCTTACTTCCTGGAAGAATGCACAGTCTGTGCACACATGAAATTTCTATTATAAAAACGATCTTCTCTTACCACTAGGTGTGTGTGTACAAAAACTTTATTGGTGATTCCCTGGAGAAAATAGAAATAAAATACTCAAGTGCGGGATACTTCCTCTCTAAAAAGCCAACAGACTTCTGTGTGTGAGAGACTGTACACTTGGCTCACATTTCTTAGGGATAAAAGGGAAGTTTTGCTCTTGCCGAGGCCATAATTGAGGAGTAGAATAGTGCAGCAAGCAGGGAATAGCTAGAGGCTCTGGACCATCCCTCCCAGGAGGAGAGTGTGCCGTTTACTGGAGCTGCTTCCTTCTTCCACAAAGCAGGCCCCAGAACAAGCTTTGTAGGTGTTTCATCTGTGCACTAAGCATCGTTGGTTTTCCTACAGTAGAATCCAAAAAAAGGCTTTATAACTTTGTCAAAAGCGTTCTCCTGAAATAGAAACTTCTCCCTTGATGAGGACAGTCAGCTTAGGTGCTGGTTACAAACAGTGTCTGGCTCCACGGAGCATCACGAGACTGACAGCCAGTTGCAGTCAGAGTGAGTGCTGCCAGTTACTCCCCAAGCCGCTTTGGATGTTTGGACTACATGCCGGTGATTTTGGAGATGGCCCTGATTTGATCAGAGCACTCCTTTAACTTTCTTCCGCTGCCCTAAGCTGTTAACGAGCTTTCTGGTGTCAAGGTCATTTGGATTTGACAAGGCATTTCCAGTTGTGTGTGCCCTTTGCGTTTGGCTGGGAATCTAAAAACTTAGTATTTATAAAATGTGTCTGCTTTCTTTTCCCATTCATACAATGTTTTCCAAGTTCAAACAGTCCTGAGTAAAGAAAACGCCCCACTTAATAATAATGGGCGGAGTGTCTGGACGTCACGGCATTGGCAGTGATCACCACTATATGGCACTGTGGCAGATACAGAGGTCGCCCACGACGCGCAGAGTGCTTGGGTAGCAATACTTTTAAAATACAGCCCACTTTCCACCTCACCCATCCCCAGACATCTTCAAAATAGGCAGAATGAACAGGGGTGATTTGGTGATGGGAAACCCGTGGGGATTACAATTGAGATGAAAAAAAAAATGTGAAAAATGATGTAAAAATAAACTTTTTAATAAAAAAAAAATAGGCAGAATGAAATTTACGAAGAGACCTTCTTTTGCCTTCCAGTCACAATCTCCTGCATCCATTTTGGGCTGTCATTTACCTTGACTCTGGCTCTTTGGCACAGCTTGCTGTGTTCTGAATTCTTGGGGACTCAAGGGGGTATCATGTACCCACAGGAGTTGTCATTGAGGGTGGTAGCTGAAAGAAGTCTATTTTAATTAAAGCCTTGGTACAAGTTTCATTTTAGCTTTCTATTATTTTCAGCACTTATTCTAGTACTTGAAGCAGTTATTGATGACTCTAAGCTAAAACAAGGAAAACCTATAGGAAGATGAATTAAAAATATGCTGTTATGCTGTCAAAAAAAAAACAACTTTTAAACACAGAAATCATTTTATTAGTACAATATAAAATCTTCACACTTTAAGTGAAACCATCTTAAAAATAATAATGGGGTCAATTGATTATTTAGAAGGAAGTGTAAAAGTCTACATGAATATTGTGGGGTACCAGGTTACTTAGAATAATAAACAGTTTTTTTTTAATTCAGATGTTATCTATTCACCCCCTGGAATCTTCATAGGATTTTCTATAAAGGTCACATATCTTATAAAGTTTTGATGATCTTTGGTGTCTTTGTAGTTAGCTTTTATGAAAGTCAAATCAGTGGAACTATTCCAGCACAAAAATTGTAATATAAGTGCCCCAGTATGACTTCCCAGCTCTTTTTGGCAAATTGCTAATCCAGTAGCCTTTATAAGGCACTTTTTACAAGCAACACCCATTTTAACTCCAAATTAAGTAGTTTATTTGTAGAAATTTTTCAATCTTGGTATCTCTTGGAATTTTTTAATATTTTGTTTCTTACTGTTCTGAGCACTGGTGTTTGTTAAGAGATTCCAGTAATTATAATTAAATGCCTATGAGAGAGAATAAGGTTTTTCAAAATGCTCAACATCCCTCATAATCAGGGAAATGCAACTCAAAACCACAGTGAGACACCACCTCACACCAGTGAGAATGGCACATATCAAAAAACCAACAACAACAAATGTTAGCGAGTATGTGGTGAGAAGAAACTCTCCTACACTGCTGGTGGGAGTGCAAACTGGTGCAACCACTCTGGAAAGATGTATGGAGATTTCTCAGACTACTAAAAATGGAGTAGAGCTACCATATGACCCAGCAGTTTTTTTACTCCTAGGGATCTACCCAAAGGGCACAAAAACGTTAATTCAAAAAGATACAGACACCCCTGTGTTTATCACAGCACTACTTCCAGTAGGTAAACCTGGAAACAATCCAAATGCCCAAAATTAGATGAACTGATAACTGGATCAACAAGGTGTGGTAGATGAGTTCTTCATTTATACACACACACACACACACACACACACACACACACACACACACAGAACACTACTCTAGCAATCAAAAAAGATAAACTCGTGCCATACACAGTAACATGGAAACATGGATGGAGCTGGAAGGGAGTTTGCTTAGTGCAGTAAGTCAGAAGGAAAAAGAAAAATATTGAATGGTTTCACTTATAGGAGGAGCTTAAGAGAACCAAATAAGACCCCCCTGTGTATTATTATTACAATACAAAACAGTACAAAAATAAACAATTAAAAACCAGAGAGATCCTACAGGGGAGGGGGACAGAGTGGGATCAGAAGGAGGGAGGAATGTGGGGGGGTGTGGTAATGACAGGAGAGGGAGAGGAAATTAAACACTTTTATAAAATGAACAACAATGTAAATAGATACATAAAAAATTTTTAAAAATTTTTAAATTAACTCGAAAAGAATAAGGTTTTTCAGCTATATCGTTTTGTAATTTGGTAGTTATTACTATCGTATTTAATTTCAATTTGTACATTTACAGCCTTTGGAAGGCTACATGCGTTTCTAACTTTGAGAATTAAATTTTATGTGATATGACTGATTAAGTAAAGTTCACATAATTTGATTTATTTGGACATCAGAAATACTTCCAGTAAAGCTTGAACTTTTTGAGTTGTGTAACATGGAGGCTTGTTTTTCTCAATTAGATGTCTATATAGATCAGTACAAACATTTACAATTTACTGAAACCTCATGCGAGTGTCTTAATTAAATAACTCATTTCTACTTATTCATTAACATGTTAACTTTGCATTTAGAATCCTGGAACAGCTCATCCTTACGATAGTGGCCACATAGCAATGACTTACACTGGCCTCTCCTGCTTAGTTATTCTTGGAGACGACTTAAGCCGAGTAAATAAAGAAGCTTGCTTAGCAGGCCTGAGAGCCCTTCAGTTAGAAGATGGGAGGTAGGAGTTTTTCTTTGTTACCTTTTTTTTTTTTTTTTTAAGGATTTATTTATGCTTACAGAACTAGGGTACAGGCCAGAGGTGTGAGAGGATTCACCAGACACAGAGTGGGGAGCAGAACACGCAGACTGACAAAGTACACTGCTGAGGGGAGCAGTGGGCAGGTCAGAGGAGGTTTGCCACACCATGTGGGTCAGCTCCCTGGCCGGGGATCAAACTCCTGCTACAGTGGCTTCGGAGAGTTTCCTGATGCAATGCTTTAGCCCATTGCGCACCAGAGAGAGCCCTGTTACCTTTTTTTTAGTTATCTATTGTATTTTAAATCTTTTGTAAGTAGTAAAATGGATATAATACTACATTAAAGGTTTAGAAGATAAACTCATTAAAACTCAAGTTTATGGCATTTATGCATAGTTAAATACCTAATAGAAAAAGTAATCCAAGATTTCTTCTGTGAAAATGAAAAGTAATCCATTATAGTAGCACTCCTTATTTAATTTTTTTTACCTGAGGTGATAGATCCATATATAAGTGAATAAATAGTTTCAGGATTAATATCTAGTTTGCTTCCTGGGGAGAAAAAATGGATTTTTTTT